CCATTCTCCCTATCACTTTCAGGTATACCAATCAAACTTAGGTTTGGTCTTTTCACATAGTCCCATATTTCTTGGAGGCTTTGTTAGTTCCTTTTCATTCCTTTTTCTCTAATATTTTCTTCATGCTTTATTTCATTAAGTTAATCTTCAATCTTTGATATCCTTTCTTCTGCTTGATCAATTTGGCTATTGATACTTGTGTATGTTTCATGAAGTTCTCATGCTGTGTTTTTCAGCTCCATCAGGTCATTTATGTTCTTCTCTAAACTGATTATTCTAGTTAGTAACCCCTCTAAACTTTTTCTATGGGTCTTAGCTTCCTTGCATTGGCTCTCTTCAGAGCCAGCAAGCAGGCTACCTACTCAAGCCTCAGTAATGGCACACGCCTCTCCCCGCACCAAGCTCAAGGGTCCCAGGTCAACTTCAGACTGCTGTGCTGGCAGCAAGGATTTCAGGTCAGTGGATCTTAGCTTGCTGGATCCACTGAGCAAGACCACTCAGCTCCCTGGCTTCAGCCCCCTTTCCAGGGGAGTGAACGGTTCTGTCTTGCTGGCATTCCAGACTGCACTGGAATGGGGGAAAAAAACTGCAGGCAGCTCAGTGTCTGCCCAAATGGCCACACAGTTTTGTGCTTGAAACACCAGTGGTGTAGGCACCCAAGGGAATTTCCTGGTGTGTGGGTTGCGAAGACCATGGGAACAGCATAGCATCTGGGCCAGAATGCACTGTTCCTCATGGCACAGTCCCTCATAGCTTCCCTTAGCTAGGGGAGGGAGTTTCCTGACCCCCTGTGCTTCCCAGGTGAGGTGACACCCCACCCTGCTTTGGCTCATCCTCCATGGGCTGCATCCACTGTCTAACTAGTCCCAATGAGATGAGCCAGGTACCTCAGTTGGAAGTGCAGGAATCGCCCACCTTCTGGATTGTCTTGCTGGGAGCTGCAGACCAGAGCTGTTTCTATTCAGCCATCTTCCCAGCTACCAGCTATTTTTTTTGTTTGTTTAACATAGAGACAGGGTCTCACTGTGCTGCTCAAGCTAGTCGTCTTGAACTCCTTGGCTCAAGAAATCCTCCTGTCTTGGCCTCCCAGAGTGCTGGGATTACAGGTGTGAGCCACCACCACCTGCCCTCATGGCTGGTTTTCAGTCCTGGCATGCTTTGCTATCATGGACGTAGTATAGCATTTCTGTTTTTTATCAACATTTTTGTCATAAGTCACAGTGCCAGTTTAAAAAATTCAGGCCCGATTGTTAGACTTTTTCTGAGGTGTTGACAACAGTAAAAAGTAACATTGTCCATTTTTCAGTGCTCTTCTGTCAAAATTTCAATTTTTTTAATTAAGAAAAAATACATAGATCTGAACTCTCTCAAAAATTATCTGTTATGGATATAAATGGGCAGGTGAACTGGTCTGGAATAAAGCAAACTGAAGAGATAGTAAAACAAAGCTGACTGTCCAGTCAAGCACATGAGGGGCTTAGAAGTTGTTACTCTGTCCTAACATGGGAAAGGCTGAACAAACTGAAACAAAAATCAACAATTTTTCTTAGATCTATTACAGAGGTGAAGTCAAAGGGCAAAGTGCTGCCCCCAAAACTGAAGAGACAGACAGGTAAATGCAGAGAATCACAACTTAGCAGAGCAGAAACCACCCCAGGAACTAGTGCTGGGGTAGGAAAACTGGAACCGTAACTCACAAACTGCTGGAAATTAGGTATAGACAAGCATGACTTTAAATCTCCAGGGGGACCGAGTCTTGGCGGTCCCTACACTTTGGGAAGCTTTACTTTCAGGCACCTGGCCGGGTTCTCACAGTGAATCTTAGAGAAAAACCCCTTCGTGCTTCCTGAAACAAACCAGAGCACTCTGTTTTGAGCAAGGTCTGCTCTCAGGAGAAACTTTTTCAGAGTCAGCCCAGCTGGGGTTTTATCAAAACCTAAACTACTTGAGGAAAGGAAAATATGCAACTCCACCCTACTGTATATCCATCCTGTCCCACCTAAGAGGGGAAAAAACCTGAAGCAGCACTGGGACAGCTGACAGACCAGAGGTGCGGACTCACCAAAAGACAGAGAACTAATCGTAGGATGATAGACACTTCCCGTCCCCCACATTTTACCACTCCATTACCAAGGCAGTTTCTTGTAACTAGTACGGCATGTCCACCTTTCAACAAAAATTTATAAAAAATACTGAAAGGAGAAAAAAAAAAAACCTCACAATTTGAAAAGACTAAAATAAACAAGCATCAAAACCAGAGTCTGATATGGCAGGGAAGTTGGTTACTAAGTTACTAAGCCAGGAAGTTTTAAGAACTATGATTACTATGTGAAGGACTTTAAAGGGAAAAGTAGAAAACATGCAAGAACAGGTGGATAATGTGAGCCGAATTATGGGAATTCTAAGATACAATCATAGGCAATGCTAGAGATCAAAATACTGTAACAGGAATAATGACTTTGGTGGATTTATTAGCAGACTGGATTTGGCTGAGGGAAGAATCTCTGAGCTTGAGGATATGACAATAGACTCCTCCCAAGCTGAAAAGCAAAGACAGAAAAGACTTGGTGGGTTGCGGGGGAGAATGTCTAAGAGCCATGAGACAGCTATTGTATGTGTAACATACAATAATGGGAATACCAGAAGGAAAAGAGGAGGAAGAGGAGTAATATTTGAAGCAATAATAACTGAGAATTTCCTCCAAATTAATGTCAGACACCAAACAGCAGATCCAGAAAGCTCAGGGAACACCAAACAGAATAAATGCCCAGAAAAGGACATGTAAGCATATCATATCCAAATGAAAGAGAACCAAAGATAAAGGAAAAATCCTGAGGGAAGCCAGAGGAAAACAAACTTTACCTATAGAGGAGCAAAGATAAGAATTACGTCTGATGAATCAGAAACTGTGTAAGCAAGAAGATAGAGTAAAATAGTTACAGTGATGAGAGAAAGAAACCACCAGCCTAGAACCCTGCGCCCTGTGAAATTATCTTTCAAAAGTAAGGAAAAATAAAGGCTTTCTCATATGAAAATTGAGCAAATTTTTTGCCAGTAGACCTGCCTTGCAAAAAAATGTAAAAAGAGGTTGTTTAGAGAGAAGGAAAATAATCTAAGTCAGAGACACGGATCTACATGAAGAAAAAGAAGAGCATGAGAGAAGGAATAAGTAAAGGTAAAATAATTTATTTTTCTCATTTTTAATTGGTCTGACAGTAGACAGTTTGTTCAAAATAGTAATAGCAGCAATGTACTTGATTATATGTGCTTATGTGCAAATGAAATGAATGACAGCAAGGGACGGGAGGAAGAAATTAGGCATGTTTTGTAATTATAAAATACTTGCAATACTCACAGAGCAGTAAAGTGTTACAAGGATACCAGGGGGATATTGTGGGTTTGGCTCCAGACCACTGCAATAAAGCAAATATTGCAATAAATTGAGTCATGTGAATTTTTTGTCTCCCAGTGCATATAAAAGCTATATTTACCCTATGCTGTAGTCTATTAATGGTGCAAGTTATATTATGTCATAAAAAAAGATGTACTGGCTGGGTGCAGTGGCTCATGCCTGTAATCCCAGCACTTCGGGAGGCCGAGGTGGGTGGATCACCTGAGATCAGGAGTTCAAGACCAGCCTGGCCAATATGATGAAAACCTGCCCCTACTAAAAATACAAAAATTAGCCAGGCATGGTGGCGGGTGCCTGTAATCCCAGCTACTCAGGAGGCTGAGGCAGGAGAATCACTTGAATCCGGGAGGTGGAGGTTGTAGTGAGCCGAGATCACACCACTGCACTCCAGCCTG